CCCCGATTCGGTTCAAGTTGCGTCCTGTTGGAGGCAATGACTCCATTCAAGGTTTGTAGGAAATTCTACCTTGGGGACTCTGGTGAGGAGAAAATCCAACCCCAAATAACAAACTGAGAGCTTTGTTAGAACATGCCACACTTCACAAAAAGCAAAAAGAGTTGATCCTTTGTTAACAATATTCCCTCAACACTTTTTAAGTCACACGAGCAGATAATTAATTACTATGATGCATGCTATCCAGGAGAGGTATGAGCAGGACAGACAAGCAGCTGAAGAATGAGCTTTGAGAATTTTGCCTAAATTAAAGGTGAGTTCTCAAGTCTGGTACCTGGATCAAACTCCAATCTTCCCTTACACAGTGGGTCTTTGTCAAACAGTCTCAGGGGAACCTCTCTTCCTGCTGTTTACTTAGCTCCATTACTACAAAAATGCCTTATAGTAAATGCCTTCATTATTCATCGTTTGTTGGCAAATTAAATCATTTGCTGTTCCAGCATCTAGAAGTAGAGGAAGTGTTCAATTCCAAGGAAACTATGCCTTCCCAGCTTTGCCAGCCAGGCAATAACACTACTGCCAACTGCTTTATGAATAGGTGAAGGATCATCTTTCAAGTGTAGTATATGAATAAACAAAACACCCTAGGGGCCTGCCAGATATTTCAGGTAATGGATAGCTCCTGCCCCACCCTGATCTCTCTCTAGAGTGATTCTGCATTGGGTTTCCTCACAAACAAGACCATTGAGACTAGAAGCAAGAAAACTGACACCTTAAAAAAATCAACAAGATGTTTAAAAAAAGCATGGACTCAGTAACATATGTGACTCTGGTGTGCCCAGCAGCATACTGGGCAGAATAGTAGCATATCATTCTGCACAATTTCTAATTGAGAATTTTAGGATACCAATACAAGTATTCTTGTCATGAGCCCCAACATTCAATTCAAACAATTGCAGCAAAAACACTTTAAAAGGTGTTTGTGTCTTCATCTTTGGACTTACCTTGAGGAATAACCTTTTTATTGAGAGAATGTTTGATTTGAGATTCCCATTATGTGGAGACATAGCTGCTTGCATTTCAAGTGTGTGTGTGTGTGTGTGTGTGTATGCAAGCCCTCAGAAATGTGTGTGCCTGAAGGCCAGAGGAGGATTTTAGGTGTCCTGCTCTATCACTCTGTCATAGTTCCCTGAAACAGGGTCTCTCACTGAAGCTGGAAGTAGAATTGTAGACAGAAAGCCCCATCAATCCTCCTGTCTCAATTAGCCAAAGGCACACATGGCCTCACCCAGTTTCTTACATACATTCTGAGCATTTGAAATCAACTCCTCATACTCGTATAGCAACTTTGCTCACCCTTTGAGCCATGGGGCCCATGCTTGCATTTTAATCAATGTTGTACCCTTCCTTTGTTTGGCAGAGCTTTGGGGAGGGCTTTATATAATCAATGGATTGAACCATGGATGGATTCATAACTGAGTGGAATCTGTGAAAGGTGGAGGCCTTGATCAGAGGAAATGGGTGAGCAGGATCATGCCTTTGAAGGGCACCTCTTTTCCATGGAGCTATACTCTATATCTGTATCCTGGCTACCAGGATGTAGGCATCCTTCCCTTGCCATGATCTTCCACTATGATGCTTTTGCCTTGCTATAGGCCTAAAAGGATGGAAACAGCCAATCATCCTGGACTGAAATCTTGAGCCTGAAATCCTCCCTTCTAAGCTGTTTTCTCAGAAATTTGTCAGAGCATCAAACATGGACCAGCCCAAGCAAGTATGTGGTTAGCTGGCCCTACCTCATCCCCAGTTTCAGAAACTGCCTTGTACTCCAGTCGGTCAATCTGGTGTTTCTTACTCCTTTTGTTCATTATTATCACCTTAAAGAGTCTTTTATTTTAATGTATGCTTTTGTTTGGCCAACTCATTCCTCATTTAAAAAATTCTTTATTTGTGCTTTTTTTGTTGTTGTTGGTTTTTCGAGACAGGGTTTCGCTGTATTGTTTTGGAGGCTGTCCTGGAACTAGCTCTGTAGACCAGGCTGGCCTCGAACTCACAGAGATCCATCTGCCTCTGCCTCCCGAGTGCTGGAATTAAAGGTGTGCGCCACCAACGCCCAGTTTTTGGGTATATGGGCACCATGGGTATCAGTGGGGGTCAGAGGAAAACTTGTAGGTGTTTGCTCTAATTCTACCATGTGGGTTCTGGGGATTGGAATCAGGTCATTAGACTTGGGGGCAAGCTCATTTACCTGCTGAGCCAGCTCACCGACTCCCCCTTTTGCTTTTAATGTCATACATTGTATATTTGCTTATGTATTATTATGCCTCACATGTGCTAGGCAAGTGCTCTACCAGTGAACTAGCTACGCACCAGTCTGAGGAAGAAGCTTCTTTAAAAATCTTTCCCAGAAATCATTTTTTCTCCTTTTGGGTTGTATCATGCCACTGAGAATGCATGGAGAGTAATCCTGTTCCCTGTGCCAATCAGGGCATGGCATCGTGGTAGTGCATGGCATCGGGAGGACACACCCGACATTAGTGGCCCAGAGGATACACAGGGATTTTTTTGAGAGTTAGGTGGATATTAGAAATTCACTTTCTTTCTGCATATGTTGATTTGTAAGCATGATGAATGGCTACAGTTAGCAGAGACCAGGAGGAAAGGAGTCTGTTGCGGATAAGCCAATAACTGAACATAACCAGACTGGGGAATAAGCACAGGGCCCTCATCAAACCACACCTCGCGTTTATTCTACAAGTAGAGTTGTAAGCTGTGGCGCCGTCACTTCTTTCTACTCTGTTTCTAGTTCTGAGTTAGGCCTCTTACTGCAGTAAAAAGAGATGCTAGATGATAGATAATATTTACTGGATGCTTTCCAAGCCCTAGGCAGTGTGCTAATATTCTACACGCCAATTAACTCTTATTAACCTCTTTAATTAGCATTGTTCTATGCCTCACTTTACAGAGGATGAAAGGGAAGCATAGGAAGGTTAATTTCCCCATGGTCCCACACAGAAAGAGCTTCGATTCATCCCTGGCCTATCTTGGGGGCTGAGAGTAGAAATCATTTTCTTTACTGCTTTCAGTCTATATAATCCATATCACTATTTTATTGCTCAGCATTTCTATTTTCATTTGCTTGGGTATGTTTTTGTTGTTGTTTTTGGGAAAATGATCTCTCTAAGCTAGCGATGGAGCTCGCAGGTAGAGCATCCACCTAGAACGACCAAGGCCCCTGGGTTCCACACCCAGAACTAAGCAAACAGACATCTTTAAAAACAACCAAGCAACTAGGTCTATGTCTCAATCTGGGATACTGGATAGCAAGCCCCAGGCCAATGAGAGACCCTGTCTCAAAACTAAGGTGTGTGATATTCCTGAGGAGTGACACACGTGCACATGTGCCACACATGCCTGCATACATGTGTGTACCCACACACTCATGAATTCATACACACAAATCATTTTCAAAATGAAAAAGAGAAGCAAAGACTCTTGGGTTTTTGGATCCTTCATTTCTAAATTGCTCAGTAACAGCATTAGCAGTAAGCCACAAATCATCTGAATCCATGGCCGGCGGGGAACAGAGCCTATCTGGTTGCCTACGATATTTGTGCTCTCTTAATGAAAGTTTCTCAAATATTAGAAAGAAAAGGCAGCTCTATGCAGAAGGTGTGTACCTACTCTATAGACAAAACTGGGCAAGCACTTCCCAAGAAAGAAACAGTCTGAAAGGCAGACATGCCAGGCTCCCAAAGACCAGGGATGTCGCCAGATGGGCTCTATTTAGTGTTCCCTAATGCTCTCAAGCCCCAGCAGCCTTCCAGGGCTCTCACTATGCCCTGCTGGTTCCATTTCAAAATGCATAATATCACAGACATGTTAGGCAAACCAGGAGCCATGAAAGCAGAGGTTAAAGTGGTCTTTGTATTTTAACAAGGATGGAAAGGGAACATTCATCCCTCAGAACTCTCGGTCTGTCCTGAGCTGGCCTTTATTCTGTCTAGTTGATGGAAGACTATGACTTTTCAAAAATCAAAGCTGGGTCACATGAGGGAGACACTATGACAGATACATTTCAGCCCTATTAGGAATAGGGTCAGGTTACCTGTGGGGGTTCCAAAAATTGTAACAAACTACTCCATACCCAGGAAACAAGCCCAGGTGAAATCTTCATAATTTAATAACATAGTTTTTAAATTTTATCTTAAAGGAATTAAAAACCAAAACAGAGCACTTTAAAACCCATATACTGCCGTTCACAAAAATCCAGGCAAGTTGATGTCCCAGAGAGGAGAAATGGTCTCCTCATTGGGCAAAGCTGCTACAGATTTTGCCTTCAAGATAGGGCCAGCAAAGCAATAAAGAGACTGTTGTGTTGTGTGACAGATTAAATCCAAGAGTAAGCTTTCCAGTGCTTGGCCAAACCACCCTTCCCTTCCCTAGCCTCTCAGCCTCCCACAAACTGCTCAGAATTTGCTATCCTTCCTCCCCAGTCAACACAGCACAGAATCAGCTTTTCCTGGCTGTTCTCTGCAATCTGGGGCTGCCTTGTGGAAAAGTGCAATAAAATCAGAAGGGAGAAGGTAAATTCACTAAGACATGCTCTGACAGCAAGCAATGATGGGAAATCATAGCTTCTGAAATGGCCACCCCCAATGAAATGAAGTAGAAATAATCCTCTCAACCTCCAAGTCTCTTTCCACAAAAGCTCTGCGGCAAAGCCACAACCCCCTTTGCTAGTGCCAGCAGGTATCTCCATTACTTTGGTGTGTGTATGGGAGAAACTCCCAAGTGGCCCCATGCCCAACTGGAGAAAAAAAAAATGTCAGGTCACCGTTACCCAGAGCTGCTGAGGATTTGGCCCCAGCACCAAGCTACCCGCTAGAAGTTGAAAACAAAGATATCTGAAGCGTGAGGTTATGAAATCATACAGGTGGACCCGCTCCCGGCTGAGCGCCCGGCATCCCGCAATGGCCCCAGGCGCGGGCTCCCAGGCTCACCTGGTACACGTCCCGCAGCCCGCACCACGACCGCAGCACCTGGTGGCAAGCCCGCAGCCTCTCGGTGTACCATCTCCGCAGCGTGGACACGGTCAAGTTCCACACGAAGCGACTGCCGCTGAATAGCAGGTCCTCCACTCCGCACATGAACACCGAAGCCATTGCCGCTGCTTTCTCTCCAAGCCTGGAGTCCCTGATACTGGGCTCGCTAAGCTGCTGCAGCTGACAACCCCTGGGGGTCAGATCTGCCACCAAACTCGCCTTTCACTGTGTGTCCTGGCCAGGTTGGGGCGGCATGCCCCGGGATTGGGCGTCCGCCAGCCAACGGCTGCGGCTGGCACGGAGGCTGTGTGTCACCCCGCCCGCCCTCAGCGCCAGCTTCCTAAGCTCCACCAGGCCAGCCCTGGGCGCTCCCTGGGCGCGGGAAGCCCTGGCCAGTGAGGACTCCCCGCGGCGCTGCTCCAGGGCACAGGATGGCTAGTGGATCCCAGCAACTCTTTGCAGGCCTGGTGGGGAGCTGCATTTCTGAGGGTTTGCACACACACACACACACACACACACACACACACACACACACACACACACACACACAGAGCTCGGGGACCCCTTTATTCTATTCTATACCTCTCTGCCTTGCATCTTGCTCTGTCTCTGTCCACAACTCACTGATAAACACCTTTGGAAAAGCCACAGAAGCAGAAGGAAAAAAAATCAGTAGCATCTCCCTTTAGATCTCACCCCTGGGGGAATTGTGCATGTTTTCTTGGCTCTACTGAAGCCAGATGAAGAGCTTCAATGCAACAGTGTTGTGCATGTCTCTGGACTGTCTTTGTTCCTACTTGAGGGTCTCCAAAAACAATGCCAGCCTCCTGTGGCCACAAGCAAAGCAAGTCCCCTGACACTTCTACGAGTCCAGTTCCAGGGTAGCTGTGAGGTCAGAGGAAAACAAGGCGCTTTTGGTCCTCTACAAACAGCGTCCAGTTGTGTCTCACTGGGAGACCAGAAACTTCGAAAGAGGATCCTGGTCAGTGTGTATAATAGTCAGGCTCAGGACAAGCCTAGCTACAGCTGGCATCACAAACCAGAATAGGGAGCTTGTCACTCAAAAACAAATAAGAAATGAGCAAATAAAGAGAAAAATGAAAACTGTTCCTCACTCAAGAAGCTGTGGGACAATCCGTGCTTTTTGAAGTCTCCCAAGGGGACTAATACGTCTAAGGCATTTGAAAGGGGGAATCTAAGGCACCCCAAGTCTGTATTTTCCTTTTGAATGTTTGTATACTGCAGTCCCCCAGAATCCTATCCCATTTCTCAGAGCAACCCCAATTGAACCCAGTTGATCACGTAAGACACACAGACATGAGAGTACAAGAGGGGATACCTGGGAGAGGAGACCAGCAGGAAACAGAGGGAGCCAGGAGAGGGCAATGGGGATGAGTATGATCAAATTACATTATTCATGTGCATGAAAGCATCACACATAGTCATTATTACATATAAATATATGCCAATAATGATAATAACAAAACCCCCACTCACTGTACCAGCTTTCAGGATGGAGATATGCTCAGGTGTTTTTCTCTGAATCCACCTGCTGGACAACGGTGAGCCTCTCACTGGTGGATTCACACCTGCACTATTATCTTTGCTGCTAAGTGGCCAAAAGGTAAGATGCCAAAGCTTTTCTTCCTGACTAGCTCCCGAGACCTCAGGACAGAATACTGGCCAGTTGATCAGCTTCATTCCATGGTTTCAAATGTGCCTTTAGCATCTTAATTCGGGTGAAACACAAGCATTTAAAACAACACAAAAATCTATCCTAAAAACAAAGCAAAACAAGATAAAAAAAAAGTCCCGCTGATTTCAAAGTGGCTGCAATTGGAAAACGTTTAAAATAATTTTTGCTTGGGGTTCTGTAAGATTCATAGACACAACTACTCTGAGAGTGGCTGATGTTTGTTGGCAGTAACCTGTCTGCCTGTCCTCCCATTCGTATTTCCATGCTGACTGTACTTCACCAGGACAATAGCTATGGGGTTTACACACAATCGGATCGAGGAGGTTTTACTGAACTGGAATAAAATGAACCAAGCATAATTTGGAAAAGAAATGTCACCTTGCTAATGGGAAATTACTGAACTTCAAAAAAATGGCCTGCTAGAGTAAACCATGGATACACACATCTTTTTTTAATGATGCAGTTGGTTCAGTTCTCGGAAATGTCAGGCAGCCTAGGGAATACCAGAATAACACCCCCAACAGGTCAATTACCAGTGTCTCGTGACACTGTCCTCTGAGGAAAGACACTCTCAAGACACTTGGGCAGGTACTGATCAGGTCTCATGTCAGCAGTCAATTGTACCCTGGGACGTTTTCACTCAAGGTCCCAAAGCCAGGGCTTAAGAGAACTTTCCTTCTCCCTTCCCCTTTCACGTGTACGTGAGTATGTGCACCCATGCTTGCTCACGTGGAAGTCAGAAGTAGATGCTGATGCTGTCTTCAATCACTTGTCCACATTATTATCATTCCTTCCATCGGGGGCATAAAGAGTCCGGCTGACCTCAAACTTACAATATAGCCAGGATGGTCTCGAACTCGTGATCCCCCATCTCTATCTCCCAAGTGCCGAGATTGCAAGAAAGTACTACCACTACACCCAGTTTATGTAGTACTGGAGATTAAGTCAAGAGCCTGTGCATGCTACGCAGGTAGATATTCTGGCTGAGTTATATTCCCAACCCCTCCACTTTATTCTTCCAGACAGGTCAAGTCTAGAGCTCACTTCTTGGCTAGATTGACTGGCTAGTGTGCCCCCAAGATCTGCCTGTCTCCTCCTCCCAGTTCTGGGGTTACAGGCACTCATGTTCACCTGGCGGTTATTACTTGAGTGCTAAGGATCCAAACTTAGGTCCTCAGACTTGCAATACAAGCACTTGGCCCACTTAGCTGCCACTCTCACCCCTCCCCCTGACCGAGGCCTGGACAACTTTTTAGAAAGTGAGACATGGTATATTACATGGTTTGCCAGACCAGTCAGTCAGCAGCACTTGGGGGCTTGCTCAGGTTGTAAGTTTTCAGGCTACATGTGTACCAGCAGCCATGGGATAGATGTTAGTGATCTCACTTTTCACCTGGTCACAGAGAATTCCAATTAACATTAAAATTGTCACCCTGAGAAGGAGGAGAATAGTGGATGGGCGCTAAACCTGGTTTCAAACCCTGAGTGCCTTGAATATACCCCTTAAATAATAAAAGTCTGACTGTCCTCAGGTATGACATGGGCACATTTTCAGCGCCCGCTATGCAGGGTCGGGGAAAGATCAAGCCAACATGCTCTTCAGGATGTGTTTAGAGTGGTGGTTGACAAAAAGCAAGCATCCAGGACAACTAGCCGCCCTCACTACCAAGAGCAGGAATTGTCTGAACGTTTTAGATTTAGACAAAACAATAAGTAAAATATATATTAAAATTTTATATTATGTGTGTGAGTACTGGAGTTGCAATTGTGAGCTGCCATGTGGGTGCTGGGACTCGAATCCAGTCCTCTTGAAGAGTACCCAGTACTCTTAACCACCAGCCCATCTCTCCAATATGCATTTTTAAAGCTGGCTATGGTAGTCTGTGCTTGTAACCTCCATGCTATGGAGACAGAGATGGGCAGAATGCTGGGATTTGCTGGCCTAACCTAATCCTGAAGCTTCAGGTCAGTGACAGACCATGTTTGAAAAACAAAAAACAAAAAACACAGCAACAACAAACTAACAAACCAATAACAACAACAAAAACCAAGCTGGAAATCTCTGGCCTAAACATGCACATACATGTGCATAAGTGCTTGCACCCATACATGTACCCACACAAGCATGCGGACATGCACACACAAATGTGCTGCTTTGAAAATAATTTTTAAATGACTCTGTAGGTCATTTCCCTTTGCTGAGGGTAAGGGTCAGATGTGACTTGCTTTGAAGTTCATTTCTGATGCTCTGTTTCAAGTTCTCCAAAATGCATTTAGAAGCTCAGTCTTGCCCACCAGAGCCGGCTTTTCCTGTGGACTTAGGAAAACGGAGTACTCTTAAAGCTGGATGTAAGACAGAAGCCATCGTTCCCACCAAACACAGGTATAGATGCTTCCTCCTCCACTCCAGGAACTGAGGAGGGTGCAGCTGAACAGAGGTGGGGAGCAGCAGAGTAAAAGGGCAGCCTGGATGACCCGCCCCAGGGTAGGGCCAGATCCCAGACACACACCTTAAAGCTGGTCTATAATTTTCCATGGGAAGAGAACTACATTACACCATTAGAAATCTGTCTTGTTTCCCCCTGTTAGCTCAAGAAGCAGGTTTCCCCTCTCCCCAGCATCAGAGCTCCCTGTAACACACCGTAATTTCCTGGAGCTCTCTCCAGAGGGCTGGGAGATACTTTGGCTGACAGCATTACCCACACACATGGGAGTGCTGCTGTGGACGTCAAAGACCATTTGTCATCCTCCCCGAGGCTTCTGTAGACTCTTCTTTAAACAACCAGCAGGAAGGAGCGCAACAGTGAGTACCAGGAAGATGGTACACACCAACGACACCTAGAAAGGGAGAGGCAGCCAGCTCCAACACGGCCTCCTGTGGCTCCCACTGCATATGAAAGAGTCCATCTAAGCTGGGTGTGACGATGCAATCTTAGCACTGGAGAGGCCGAGGTAGACAGAGCTCAAATTTAAGAGTAGCCTGGGCTACACGATCAATTCCATTCCCACCTTGGTTACCAAAGGGAACCCATCCCTAAAGAGCAAGAAGAAAAAAGAAATGAGTTCTTCTAACATCTGTGGACATTGTCCACATTTTCAAGCTCTGAAAACCCATGGACATCTGACCCAAGGCTTAAGGTGGACAAAGTAAAGTCTTGCTCAATGGTTTCCAAATAAGAACAGTTTTTCATTCCTCCTTTAAATCTGTGCAATGTTCGCATGTATTTCTGGTTGTCACAACCAAGGAGTGTTCCTGGCGTCTAGTTAATAGAGGCCTGGGATATTGCTCAGCATGCTGCAATGCACATGACAGTACCCCAGCATCAGAGATCTAGGGTGGAAGGACCCTCAAGTCTAGTTAAACTCCACACCCTGCTTCTTCCCTCCTGTGACGTCTACCATTTAGAAACATCCTCCCTAAAGGGCCAGCAGGAGACAAAATGAAGCAATCACTCTGTTTCAGCTTTCACACCCCACAAAGTATAAGGAACTCAAAGCCTTCAAAGATAGAACTGGAATTCTGTTTCCTACTGTTTCATTTTCTCTTTAAAATATGTATAATAAAAAGAAGGCATAATTTTCATCAAAAGCTATTGA